TCTCTCTCTCTCTCTCTCTCTCTCTCTCTCTCTCTCTCTCTCTCTCTTTCTTTCTTTCTTTCTTTCTTTCTTTTTTTTCTGAGACAGGGTTTCTCTGTGTAGTCTTGGCTGTCCTGGAACTCACTCTGTAGACCAGGCTGGCCTCAAACTCAGAAATCTGCCTGCCTCTGCCTCCCAAGTGCTGGGATTAAAGGCGGGCACCACCACCGCCCGTCCGGGATGAGGTTTTCAAAGACACAAAGGTATTGTTGGCTCTCTGTTTAACATACAGGTGGGGGCAGGCCTGATGGGCAGGCCTGTAATCTTAGCTACTCAGGAGGCTGAAGTAAAGACCGCCTGAGCTGTAGAATGAGTTCTGGGTAACTAACTTATCAAGACAAAAAAAGGTATAAGAGTTTGGAGACACAGTGCCATAGTAGAGCGTCACCTGGCATGTGGTCTGGGCTCAATTCTTTACTCCATGCCTGTGCATACCCTCCCCACGTAGTTCTCTCTCAAGATCTGATTGGGATCAGGAGGGAAAAGGCCCAGTGTGCTCCTGGTCCTGAGAACCACGCGACCATTCCCACTGAAACCTTGGACATTATCCGTGGTCTGGTTGGGAGCAAGTTCGTGTTTAGAAACCAAAGGCCAAAGTCATGGCCATCCTTCCCACTCAAAGCCCAGCCTGGGGAATAAAGATCCTGTTTCTGCTCCACCCTAGCTGGGCCTACAAGTAGAATCTGTCTGTGTTTCCTCCTACAGCAGAAACCAGTCAGCCTGCCTTGGTCTGGGCCTCTTCATTCTTCGTTGGGTCTTGTGAGGAGAGTTAGACCTTCAGTAGCCCAGCTTGACTAAAAGGAAGAGAGCAGGGAGGGGCAGGAGTCAGTGTCTCTCTCCTCTCCATCTCACCCCCACCCACCTTCTAAGGTTGGGCAGCTTCTGCCCAGGATCTTATCAGGGGAAACTCCCTGCCCTTAATCCGGAGTTCAGAGGTGCCTCCATTTAATGTGTTATATTATTCTAATGAGTCAAGATGAAACAATTATTCTTCCTAGGACTAAGTGGTGAAAAATTGTCCATGATATGCCTAACCTATTTTTCCTTTCCCACTTCATCCACTCTAACACATTTTTATCCTGTCTCTTCTTACCACCGCCTTTCTCTTCTGTCGCTTCTCTCACTGAGACTGGACTCTACTGCCCTCCAGTGGCCAGAGCAGAGAGAACTCTTCCCATCCATTCCGCACCTTCAAGGATTTTTACCACTAACAGCCCATTTCATAAATGGGAACGCTGAGTAAGTCTACTCAAATTTCTCAATCCCAAGCAACGTACTCCACATCATTCCCTCAACCTCTGACTTGTGACTTGTTTCCTTCCTGTCTCATCCCTAGAGAAGATTCCATGTTGGAAAACCTACAGAGAAATAGAAAGAAAAAGACACGGTCTCCAAGCATCCTACCCTCAACACTTGCCTCAAATGTCATAATCACAGGCTAGTTTTGAGGCCAGCCTGGTCTACAGAGTGAGTTCCAGGACAGCCAGGGCTAGACAGAGAAACCCTGTCTCAAAAAACAAAATCAAGAAAAGCAAAAAACAGGCTAGTTAGCAGCTACTAGGTTCTTCTGATGAACAGTCGGCTTTTAGCCTTTTGGACCCCACATCTTTCAGGATTATTTACTGGCTTCCCTACATCTCGTTCCCCTGACGACATCACTGTAAGACCGCGGTAACTAACCAGGTCTCTTGTTTCCACGGTAACAGGCGCTTTGCGACCTTCAGTTTGCAGCGGTCGCACTGCAGTCCTGCAGTGGTTGCTGGGCGACGGCGGTGGAGAGAAGGGGTGGTTTGAGTGAGGACCTGGACTGGCTTTGGAAAGGAAGCTAGCCTATGCTTGCTGGAAGTGCTGGGCCCTTCGTGAAGGAGTGCGACCCAAAGTGACCGAGCTGCTCTCCTCTTCTCCTGGCCCATGGCTGGCGTGCAGTCCCTCGGTCGAGCAAGGGGCTCGGCCTGGACCTGGAGGCCAGTGGCACGAGACGTGCTTCTGGCTCGTGCCTTCCATTCATGCACGGAACTGGAAGGTCGGTTCTATCTGGTGGGAGGTCTCCTAGAAGGCGGTGCAAGAGTGCCCAGCAACGACACTGTGATCTTTGACCCAGCTGGGGGCCAAGCGGTGCGACTGCCAGCCCGAGGTAGTCCCCTTCGCAGCCACCACGACGCGGCACTGGTGGGAGGACGTTGGCTCTGTGTGGTGGGTGGCTGGGATGGGTCACGTCGCTTATCCACGGTGGCTGCGCTGGACACGGAGAGAGGAGTGTGGGAAGCATGGACTGCGAACCCTGGCAACTGCCCTCCTGCTGGCCTTAGCAGTCACACCTGCACTCGCCTCTCAGACCGGGAGCTGCGGGTGTCTGGCAGAGAGGGTGGCACCCACACTCAGAGACGCTACGGAAGCATCTACACGTTAAAGTTGGACCATAGGACCCGAACTTATTGGTACTAAAACCTTTGCACCAAACGTCCGTTTGTTTTCTCTATACTCTAGAAAGAAAAAAAAAAAAACTAAACAAACTTACTGGTAACCTATCGATAGCACCTTCTGTCTTGAAATCTACAATTTCCAAGATGGCTTAACTATCTGTCCCAAACTTTTCTTTTTCTTTCTTTCTTTCTTTCTTTCTTTCTTTCTTTCTTTCTTTCTTTCTTTCTTTCTTTTTTGTTTTGTTTTTCGAGACAGGGTTTCTCTGTGTAGCCCTGGCTGTCCTGGAACTCACTCTGTAGACCAGGCTGGCCTCGAACTCAGAAATCCGCCTGCTTCTGCCTCCCAAGTGCTGGGATTAAAGGCGTGCGCCACCACTGCCCGGCTCCAAGCTTGATTTTCTCTGTCACTAGGGCTCTCTGGCAAAGAAAAACACTTGAATTTTTCAGAAAACCAAACTCAGGCCCGAATTTCTGTGTACCAACAGCTACAAAGAAGAAGGCTGCCACACAGCCTCACGATCAGGTCACTGTGCTGCCCTGCTGCCAACTGCTGGACCGCACCCGGGTCATCAGCTTTTGCTCTTTGGGGGTTGCAACTCAGTTGGTCCAGAAGTAGCAGGGCAATGGAGCCATGGGAAAATTAAGGTAGTAGCTACTTACGTAAAGTAGAAAAAGACTAAAACTCCGATAAGCAAACCCTTCAGACAATCCCTTCTTGTTTTTCTCCCCAAAGGAGGAACCGCCTGTTGCCCCTCATTTGAGGGAACAGCTTGCAAGGCTTGTGAGCAGTGGACAGGGGTTGCAGCAAGGACCCCAGAGCCTGCGGCATCATTCCTGTTCCGTGGTGGGACCCTTCGCTGTACTGTTTGGTGGAGAAACTCTGACCAGAGCTAGAGACACGATCTGCAATGACCTCTACATCTACGATACCCGTGAGAGCCAAACTAACATTTGAAAGGGAGGAGGGAAATACACGAGAAGCCAAAAATTACAAAAAAAAAGCATTGGTGGGACAGAAGGAGAAAAAATCAGTTGACAAGAGTTAAAGAAATACAGTTGGGTTGTGGTGGTGCATGCCACTCAGGAGGCGGAAGTGGGTGGACCACTGTTCCAGGCCAGCCAAGGCTACACAGAGAAACCTTGTTTTGAAAAAACAAAACAAAACAAAACAAACAAACAAAAAAATAGGGCCAGGCATAGTGGTTCACACTTTTAATTCCAGCACTTGGGAGGCAGAGTCAGGCAGATCTCTGGGAGTTTCTGAGGCTAGCCAGACTGATCTAGAGTATGAACCTAGCCAGGGTGACAGACTGAGACCCTGCCAAAAACAAAACAAAATACAATAGACAATAGAATATTAAACATTTGAAAAAGCTGACAAATGGGAAAATTCACATGCATGCATACTGGATAACACTGGAGCCGAGTAGGTAACCACCTCAGTAACCACCTTCTGCTCTGAACCCAACAGGCAAGTCTCCGCCTCTGTGGTTCCACTTCCCCTGTACAGACCGTGGACTGAAGCGTGTGGGCCATCGCACTTGCCTTTGGAATGACCAGCTTTATTTGGTTGGGGGTTTTGGTGAGGACGGCAGGACAGCTAGCCCACAGGTTTGCATCCTGGAATTCTTCATCTAAAGAACAACAGAGAGGCACATGGCCAAGCCTCTCTGTTGTGGCAACACTACAAAGCGGTCTCATCAGAGCTATTGCCCTATTTCAAATACCTATTAAATTTCAATCTGAAATGTAAGATTTATATAGTTTACTTATAAGTACTCTATCTGCATGTACACCTGCATGCCAGAAGAGGGCATCAGACCCCATTATAGATGGTTGTGAGCCACCATGTGGTTGCTGGGGATAACAGATGCCCTCGGAAGAGCAGCCAGAGCTCTTCACTGCCGAGCCATCTGAGCCAAATCTTTAGCCCTCTGAATCCGTTAGAAGAGCATCAAATAAGCAGATGTCTTTATTTGCAAAGGAGAGGCCAAACTGAGGGTCCTTTCTGGTTGTGTGAGCTATTACCCTGGTAGAAACAACACAAATCATACACTATTTTTTTGTTGTTTTGTTTGAGACAGGGTCTCACTATATATATAGCCTTGGATGACCAGGAACTTGCTTTGCAGACCAGGCTGGCCTGAGATCTGCCTCCTGTTGTCTCCCAAACACTAAGATTATTAAAGGCATGTGTGCTACCATGCCCAGCTGTATGCTGTCAGTGTAGCTGTAAATGAGAGAAAGTTTCAAGCTATGGATGAGTATTTGACCAAAACATTTAATCAATAACAACAACAAAATATTACAATAGCAGAGAAAATAAAAATAAAAACAATAAAAAGAAATTACAAGTGGGAATCAGGGTTAAAAAAGAAAAACGCAGAGGCCTTAGTTCCTAGGAGACCAACACCCCTGCTGAGCTGGATTTAGTCCCAGCCCCTTCTGAGTTTTCCTTGGCTGCTGGCTTCTCATCTTCCCCCATAAGACGAATGTTGTGCTTTTCCCGGAATTCATTGAGTTCTTTCCCCTTTGCCTGAAGCTGCTGTGACAGTGTCTCAATGATCTTCTGTATCTAAAAGGCAAAAAAAGAAAGAAAGAAAGAAAGAAAGAAAGAAAGAAAGAAAGAAAGAAAGAAAGAAAGAAAAAAGAAAGAAAGAAAGAAAGAAAGAAAAAAGAAAGAAAGAAAGAAAAAAGAGGTTACAGAAGGATTGCAGGCTCCCTCCTCTGACCTGGAATGGACTATGGTTAGAGGCAGTGAAACAAGAACACATTTAAGCCAGAGTTACCAAAGCCCAGACTTTCAAGTGATTTCTTCTCAAATATAGTGCCTTATAAAAGGGAACCATTCGGGCTACTTACTTTCATTATTCTTTTTTTTTTTTTCTCCCTGAGACAGGGTTTCTCTGTGTAGCCCAGGCTGTCCTCAAACTCAGAAATCCGCCTGCCTCTGCCTCCCAAGTGCAGGGATTAAAGGCGTGCGCCACCACCTCCCGGCCAACTCAGACCTACTCTTATCCACTGGCCACCAAACCACCCCATCTCATAATCATATTTGTTTTGTGACTCGTGGGGCTAACCGGGAGCACCCTTGTGGGCATGGGTCTGGAGCTACCTGCAGGAGCAGGAGCAGCTCACTGTCCCCTCTCCAGTAACTGTCACTCCTCAGTAGCTCCCCAGGCAGGTGGGCTGCTTGTTTTTAAAAGAGCATTTGTCATGCTATGGTTTCTTCTCTTTGGTCACATTTATTTATTTATTTTTATTGATTGATTTATAGTTAGCCCAGGCAGGCTTGAAACCAAAGATCCCCCTGCCTCATCATATCAGCAAGTTAATTGCCAATTTATGCCACCGCAGTCAGGACTTCTCACTTTAAAAGGTCACTTATTGTTTCTTCAAGGGTCTGGTTCCATGGATCCAGAGAGATCCTAAGAAGTTGTATTTAAACTGGTCCCTGGCTGGAGGTGGAGCTCAATGATAGAATATTTAGCCTACTGTACATAAGGCTCTGGGTTTGCTGCCCAACACTGCACAACAAGTTCTTCAGGAGATGCTGACTCAGGACTCCACAGACTATATTGTGAGGAACACTGCTCTACCCATTCCCCTCCCAATGCAACCACATCAAAGAGTCCAAGGAAAGGGCACACAGCCAACGACTCCTCACTTAAGGAGTTGGACTTCAACTTTGTAATAGTATAGAGGGCACAGTATATAGCTAACAGGCTATCTGCTACCATCAACATGAATTTCTGCCTGGACTTTCTTCCCTTGCATTCTCTAAATCCCAGGTCACCCATTTTTAACCCCTTGGTTGCCCAAACACCTATTCAGGGATTCTTGCTCACCTGCTCCTTGTTGCCCTCCAAGGCAGGCAGCACTTCCTTGACAGTCCGCTCTACCAGCACGCCTCCAACCATGCGGTAGCACTTGCGGGTCTCATCCACCTCCTTCAGTGTATCGATCACTAGGCTGGGGTAGGAGAACAAGACAGGACCCCAGAATTCCCCCCCACCCCACCCCCGCGAGCCTCCCTCCAGTCATTCTGCTGCTGCCCTGCGACCTTCCTACCTGTGCTCATTCAGTTCCATCTCCAGCTCAGCTGCTTTGGATGCCAAGCCCCTCTGTTCCTGCCGAAGGCGATTAAAGCCAGCAATTACCTAAGAGATGAGAGATGAGACAGTGAAAATACCAGAAAATAAAGGCAGCCCATAGGCTGGCAAGTTACAAAGGTGCAGTAGTGGATACCTGTCTTGGGAATGGGTAGAACACACTCCTACTGAGTGCCTATACGCCTGAGATGTTTACTAGGCACAGGGGATTTACCAATAGATTTGACTATGTGAGACGGTACAGGGTACGGAGCTGCTGGAATACCTACAGGATAAAGAGAGCTGTCTAGTGCCCAGAGGCCAGAAGAGGGCATCAGACTCCCTGAAACTGGAGAAACAAATGGTTGTGTGCGCTGGAAATTGAACCTGGATCCTATGCAAAATGTTTTAACTATTTTTCTTTTAAGTTTTTTAACCACTGAGCTAGCTTGCCAGTTTGTCACCCAACCCCAGATTTTTTTATTTTTAATTATATGGATAACTGTATGTCTCTACACATGAATGCAGTTAATCAGAAGAGGGTGGTGGAGTCACAGACCTGATATGGGTGCTGGAAATCAAACTTGGGTCTTCTAGAAGAGCAGTGTATACTTTTATTTTTAAAGAATTATTTAATTATTTTATGTATATGAGTACACTGTAGCTGTCTTTGACAGATGAGGAGAGGACATCAGATCCCATTACAGATGGTTGTGAGCCACCATGTGGTTGCTGGGAATTGAACTCAGGACCTCTGGAAGAGCAGTCAGTGCTCTTAACCTCTGAGCCATCTCTCCAGCTTCACAGTGTGAACTCTTCATACTCTTAATCATTAAATCATCATCTTTGCAGCCCTTGCTTTTTTTTTTTTTTAAGATTTAAAGATTTTTTTTTAAATCTATGTATGTATGTATGCCTGTGTGTATATATACAAGTGTGGAGGTCAGAAGAAGGTGTCAGATTCACCTGGAGCTTCAGTTAGTGGCTGTGAGTTTCTGGGTCTGGGTGCTGAACTCCAGAAAGGACAACTCTGAGTTCTCAGATCATGCTCAGGTGGCCATGCTCATGCAGACAGTGCTTCCCACTAAGCCACACAAGCGTTAGCTCAGGGCTGGAGGTCCAACTCAGTGAGAATGGCCTCAGCATGCCAGAGGCACTGGGGTTCAACGCCCACCACTACTACCAACAACAAATCTAGAGAGAACATCTTGTGTTTGTATGTTTGTCAATATGGTTGTGTGCACCTGTCAATAAAACTCTGATGGCCTATAGGTTAGGCAAGATATAGGAGATGGGACACCCAGGAGGAGAAAGGATTCTGGGATAGAGGCAGGTATGGGAGATTCACCCCAGAAGATGTGACAAGATGGACAGACACATGGTACCTGAGCACAGGTAACCAGCCATGTGGCAGAATGTACGCTAGAATAAATGGGATACTTTAAGTTAGTCTAGTCAGAGAGGAGCCTAGTTATATTGCCAAGGTATTGTAAATATATTTTGAGTCTGAGTCTTATTTCTGGGAGCATGGGGCTGGGAGGAAGAACTAGGAAAATATTTACTAATGGCACCATACACTGGGTGGCAAAATGTTGTAAAAATTAACTGGAGGCTTCTACCCCACCGTTGATCATTCAGTTGCCAAATAAAAGACATAAAGCCTTTATATTTCCAGTTACCTTTATAGCACCAGAGCTGAGCAGTTATCAACCCTCTGTATTATTTTGTCTACTTCCCAGTCACTAACCCTGAAATATAACCTATCATGTTCTGCCTGGGCTGTTCCTTCTCAAACTGGCTGGCCCTCATGGACATCTTCTTGTGATCCACCTCTCCCATGGTGTCTTCTTCCTTCCTCTTTTCTCTTGTGGTTCCTGCCCCAGGACCCCAAACCTGGGAACCAAAGCCCCACCTACCTCTCTTCTGCCCAGCTACAGGCTGTAGGCATCTTTATTCAACCAATAGTTTTATATTAAGGAACAAGGTTACATGGCATCATTTAGTATACGTGAGGATCTCCTCATTCCTGAGGGCAACCAGACCTTGGGGGCCAGTATTTAGCATTGTAATACAGAGCAACAGACCAAACCTCAACAGTCACGTGTAAACAGGGATAGACTAGTCAATGTTGAGAGTCTCTTTACCCTATTAAATCATACTGTATGTAAATATCCCCACTGAAATAGTCCCATTTAATTAAAATACTATGTATTCTTTTCTAAATCAACATCACCTCTTATGACTACATAGAGCTCTTTACTTTCTTTCTTTCTTTTTTTTTTTTTTTTTTTTGGTTTATCGAGACAGGGTTTCTCTGTGTAGCCCTGGCTGTCCTGGAACTCACTCTGTAGACCAGGCTGGCCTCGAACTCAGAACTCTGCCTGCCTCCGCCCCCCGAGTGCTGGATTACAGGCGAGCGCCACCACCGCCCGGCCGGCCGGCTCTTCACATTCTTATTTATACATACGAGATCTCTCAGAGACTTATGTTTATACACTAAGATTTCCCCCTGATGTTTATTTTTATGTTCCTTACCTGCACGTGCATGTTCACTATGTGCATGCCTGGGGCCCAAAGAGGCTAGAAGGCAGCAGATCCCCCAAAGCATGAGCTACCATATGGGTACTGAGCTAGAAATTAAACCCAGGTCCTCTAGAAGATCTTAACCATCGAGCAATTTCTCTAGCCCCAGAATCTTTTTAAGTGTGATATAGAATTTGTTCCCTATTGATATATATGTTGCTAGAGGTGTCTGTGTGCATAATTTGTTTTGAGGCAGGGTCTCTGCATACAAATTACCAGTCTGGCTTTCAACTGAGATTGTGGAGAGCTTTTGGGGCTGCTTCTAGAAATTTGGCAAGCACTTATCACTGGGCTCAACGAAGTAGGCTCAATAAGAGTATTTACATTAGGGCTAATACAAAGCTCAATGTGTGCTTTTTCTTTTATCTTGGTCATCCTGATAAGCCCCTAGAAACAGTGACTAGGGGCTTTGTTTATTGCCTTGTCTGATTACTTTGTCTTTGATCTAAGAACTGACCCTACTCTCTGCAAGTACCTAACATGGTATAAAAGCTGACTGGGAAAAAAAATAAGCCTGCTTCAGCCTCAGCATTGGCTGGAGTCATGTTATAACATTGTCTAATTGTCTTTTTCTTTTCAGTCCTCACTCCCTCCCTTGAGACCCTGTTGACTGACTGAGCTGGCTTGGTCATTGAGATTTTCCTGCCTCTGTCTCCAGACTACAACCAAAATTCCTCACCACAATGAAAATCTGTAAGACCTGGCTGGTCCTGCTTACTCCCACATACAGGCAGGCCTTCTCTGCATCTTAACTTGATACCTCTTGCTGTCTTAGGCCACTAGTAGTGTCCCAGATACTATGTAGACTCTCTACCCTTCCTGGTAAGCTTTTGCAGATCTCTCTCACTCCTTATTTCTCTGCTGAAACCTAAATTCTCTTTTTTGGTTTCCATTCAAATTCTCTTGCAAAGCTGTACTTGTTGGGATGACCAACAGTAAACTTTTTTCTATAATCTGATAGTAAGCCAAAGAAATTATAAAAAACTGTCCTACTTGTTCTTTGTCTAATCAAGCTCCATTACCTACCAGAAGAAACCCTAAAGGTACCCAAAGAAATGAAATTTGGCAGATGTGTTTCATTTTTCAGAGTTTGAAACAGTAAACTATGTACATAATACAACCAATACCTATTCAGGATGAGCTTCTGCCTTGAGATCTGAAAAGGCTGATTCTGTAACTATACACTCATTAGAAGTGATGGCTATCTTAGTGATATCTTTATAGATTAAAGCTTAAAACGTTTTGGCTTATGAGTTCACTAAAATTAAACAAATAAAACATATTACAGGTATACCTTACAGTCCTATAGGTCAAGCAATTGTGAAAAGATCTAACAGCACTTTAAAGGAGACGTTCATAAAACAGAGGGGGATAGGAGACCTCCCAGAGACAGGTTATGTAATGTTTTATTAACGTTAAATGTTTTAATGTTAGCGAGACAGGTAGCACAATGCTGAAAACACTGGATTTTAAAAATGGACTGCTGAATTAAAACAGGCTGCAGACTTTGAGAATATATAACCCCCAGAATCAAAGTCAGGAAATATGCTGTGTTGAGGAAGAGGCTGTAGCTTTATTTCCACAGGAAAAGAAATGCTGTGGATTTCTTCACAGTTAATAAAGATTCAATTTGACCAGGAGAGACTTCCTGAAAATCTTGGCTGCTGACATAGAAGAGACCCAAAAGGACAGCAAAGCAGGTGACGCAAATGTTTCCCCCCTACCTGGGAATGGCTAGGAGACTGAGGGGACATGGATGTCTCTGCAGCCGACAATCTTTTTGGCTATCTGGTGCGCACGACTTATTACTACACGCCATCACACAGCACAGATGGGGATCGCCACCCTAGTACAGTTGTGGTTATTCAATCCAAACTGACTTACAGATCTCTTTCACCTACTCAGACACAAGGCAGGGAAGCATTATTAGTTGATTTGTGAACACCATATATTTCATACATTAATATAAAAATGTCCCCACAATGTTACTATTAAAAGTTTGTGTTTTCAGAACAAAATGACCAAACACCAGTAAAATCAAAGTAGCTAGCCCCAAGTGATCCAGACTCACAGACAGCTTCAGCTGCTGCTTCCTCCAAGACAGCTTCAAAGCAGCTAGCCTTAACTGGCATAGCCTCACAGACTGCCTCAGCTAGGCCTGCACCTTCCTGGACAGTGAATAAAACAGCCAGGTTTCTCAGGGACTGGCTAGCATTCCAATTTTCTCAGGGTCCCCAAAGATGCCATTGCCTCCAGACAGCAGGAAGCAATCGAAAGAACACAATGTCCTCATTCCTGAGAGGTGGAGTGGGTGGTTATTGGTGTTTATGGGTTATGGATGTTTGTGTCACTTAGGGGGTTGGTGGCTGGCTGTTAATGGTTGTGGCCAGGGAAGAAACAAAGGGAAGGAGGATGGGTTCAGGGTGCGCTTGTTCTCTCTTCTCTCCTTGTTCTCTCTTCTCTCTCTCTCTCTCTCTCTCTCTCTC